TTAGGGCGAAAAATCTTGTGTTCTTTTTACTATTTCTTATTTTTCTTATGCATTACTTTTGTTGTTCGTGAGTTTATACAACTAATTAGTGGCTTTTAATCTCTACAGAAGTAATGCTTTTGTAATAGCCATGTTGATTTTGATGGAACCTGGGATGCTTTTGTAATGGGAAATTTAAAGTACGTCATCCAATGTTTTTTATGCCCAGGCGATTTTTAGTTTTCGACCTCTGATTACTGTACCAGCGACAAAATTCAGTGGGTGTTTCAATTTGGGGAAAAGTTTTCTACTTTGGGCTTGGAGTGGCGTTAAATTTGGGGAAAATTTATTTAATGCATTTTTCTTTTTCTTTTTCTTTTTTGGGGAAAATTTATTTAATGCATTTTTCTTTTTGTTTTTGTTTTTCTTTCAAGTCAAGAACCTTTTTATTTATAGAGCAACTTTCATAAATTTTCCACATCACTAACAACTTGCTGACTTGACATAAACTACTTACACAAATGTATGACATCATTCTTCCGTCCGCCACATCATCAAGTCCGTCAAGTTTTTTAACGGAAGTTCCGAAAATTCAATGATGAATGGCATAGTTTCTTAAGTTTAGTGATCTTAGTGGTGGCAATCGAGTCGAGCGGATCGTCGGCTCGTACTGTAACGACCCACTAGCCGCTCGGGCTCTTCAAAAGACGAGCCCGAGACGAGCCGAGCCTGCTCGGCTTGTTAGAGAGGCGAGCGCTCGTGGGCACCCGCCGACGAGTCGGCCTCGTGAAAAAAAATTAAAAATTAAAAAATAATAAGAAAAGCTAAAAAAAAATAACGAGCCACGAGCCAAGCCAGCTCGTGGCTTTAAGGCCAGCTCGGCCCATTAACATCTCTAAGTGATCTGATGGAAGCTTTAGGTAAAGTTTAGTGATGAATGAAGAAATTAACCCGTGAAAACATGAAAATAATTTTTTGAGAGTGTATGATGGAAAATGAGGGTAAGAAAAATCACTTTTTCAAGAAGTTTTATCAAACAAAGGTTTAATTGAAGAAAGATGGGCGACATATCAATGACTAAATGTATGAATGGTAAATGAACTTCACCTGATGTACAAAATCATACATTAATTCAACTTTGTATTAAAATCATACATGAACTCACAAATTTGTATTATATTCATACATGAATTAATTTCCGTATGTGAAAATGAACGGAATAACCAATGTGGCAATGACATAAAAGATATTTGACAAACTAATTAAGTGAATAAACTAAAGGGAAAATTGCAGCAGTGGTCCCAAACCTTTTTGTTTTTTACAAACTCTACCTCAACCTTCACTTCGTACCACTACATGTTCCAAATCTTTAAAAAAATATGCAGCAGATGTCCAAATGTATCGAAACCATCCATTTGGCCGTTATTGACTAAATGAGTTGATTTTGACCAAATTTAAAATGAGTAAAATGATAATTTTGCTATTTACCATATTAAATAAACAAACAAAAAAATAAAACCAAAAAAAACTGTTCATTATCTCTCTTCTTCACCCCACCTACCACCCTGATTAGCCACCGCCACTGCCACCGTCCTCCACAGTCACTCTACTCCGACCAACCACCACCCAAACCACCAGACAACCATACCACTAGAAAGCCCTCACCGCCCTCTACTCAAACCACCCAACATTGGGCATCAACACTTCCTGTGTTGGCCAGATTTACAACTCAAAATCACCTACTCGCTTTCACAAATATTGGCGGCACAGCCTCCTCCGGTGATACCCACAGATTACCCATGTCACAGGTGGATTCTAATCGCCGGGGCACCCCTGTCCATGGTCTTCCAACATCAAATAATGCAACAAATCAGAATCTACAAGTCCATTTTTCGAACCTAGCGAGGTTGCAGCTTTCTGAACCATTTTCCAGGGCCGACAGTGGAAGTCAAGATCGCGGACCACCCACTCTCGAACCTCCTCAACAAGGCTTATCCATTTTCTATTTTGATGAGTTCAATTTACCTTCTCCAATTTTAATTCCAAAACCTTTCTTGAAAACTCAGTCACCCGAAGACCCCTTAGATTTTTTTACCTAACTTTCTGGTTCTTGCTCACCGTTGTGCTTCCACTTTGCTGGGTTCATTCCAGTGTTTTGGCTTGGAATGCATCATGTTGCTGGGTTCACCTGTAGCATACCTACGAAAATGTTGTTTGTTTCGATCAACCGTAGCATGCCTAGGAAGTGCATCCTGTTGCTGGGTTCATTCCAGTGTTTTTGGTTTGGAAAATATTGTTTGTTTCAAGCAATTAAAAGAAAATTGTTGGGTCAATAGTGTTGAAAATTGTTGTTTGAGATGTTGGCCATGGTGGTGGCGTTTGTGGCGGCCACAATGGCGGTAGGCGGCAAAATTTTGGTGTTAGCGAATGGTGGGGGTGGGGTGTTTGAAGAAGACCTGATTTTTTTTCTTATTGTTTTTAAAGAGAAATTACTGTATAGACGGAAATGCCCCTCCTTAAAATGGTCAAAATATCCAATTTTTTTTAATTTTTCAGGTTTTCATCCATTTGGACCTCTGCTGCATATTTTTGAAAGGTTTGGAACCCATGGTGGTACAAAGTGATGGTTGAGGTAAAGTTTGCTAAAAAAAAAAAGAAAAAGATTTGGGACCGCGACTGTAATTTTCCCTTAAAACTAAAACATTTGACTTTTAAATGCTTCAGTTGAATGAGAAACTTACTGCAAACACGCATTGGTTAACAATTGTGTGACAGAGCCTATTTGGCAACCTTATTCGTATGAGAAAAAAAAAAGAGTTTTGAATAATTATTTTTAGGAGGATGTGTGATTAAAAAGTATAGAAATAAATTTAATGATTATTTTCAATCTTAACAAGATTCTTTTGATACGATGCTATTCAAAAAAAACGATCATTTTGAATTGACTAAAATGTGGGGTTTGATATTCAAGAAGTAGATTAGTCATAGATGTGGGGTTGTTTAGATTGAATCAAAATTACAAAAATAAAATAATATAAAATATTTATTCGTGTTCAATCTTATCTATTGTATGGCATCAACATCCAATACGTCCTTAACTAATAATTTGGTCACCATGTATACCCTACAAAAAAGAATTTAAATAAGAAGACTCCAATTATAATAAGTAATAGTACTGGACGATAAATTTTTAATACATGTAATTATGTTGCTTAATTAAGCCCCTATTTGCACTTCATTTTTTCATTATTCCATAAAATAATATTACACGCAAATTCAAAACCTTTTTTTTTATTTTTTAACCACACTTTCTTTTAAAAATCACTATTTAAAATTACATTTTCCTCAAATTCTAATTAAAATGAAGCCCAAGGACTTAATATATATAATTAGATTAATAATTAATCTTAAATAAAAAATTAAATTCTCCCTTGCAAGAATTCATATTACTATACTAAAAAATTTACATATTTACACTTTGCATACCGCATTTGGCAAATTTACATTTTACATATCTCTATTTAGATAATGGCAACTAATTCCAACCTTTTGTTTGAAAAAAAAAAAAAAGGAAGAACTGTCCAAATTATTCTTAACTGAAATAACAAATCATAAATTATATATTACATTGTGTAACATTTTACATACCACTTGTTATACCATAAATTATCTCATGTTGGGCAAAGGCTTGGGTTCGGACCATTAGGCTCACGAGGCCCATTTCCATTTTCTATATATAAGTGAATCCCTTTCATTTTAAGGAATG